CAGGGGTCAGCCTCTCTGCCCACAGTGCCCTGCACGCAGAGACAGCAGTGCTCCCACCACGGCCTGACTCGGCAGGGTTTAGTGTGAATGCACACCCCCTCTCGTGCCCCTTGTCTGCTCTGTCCCGTCCTCGTCCTTCTGCACCTGTAGAGGCCCCATCTGTCACCTGCCCACCTTCATTTTAAGATGAGAAAGCCTGTCACTTACTTGCCTGTGGACAGGCGGTGGCTGAGCTGCTGTCGACCCTCGTCCTGGCGTCTGGGTCTCCATGCCTGCTCCCTTTCTTATCGTTTCCTTCCCTGCCCACCTGCTTTCCTGCTCCCATCAGTGTGTGCGTGGCACATGGGGGATGAGAGGGCTAGAAGAGCCTCCAGAGATAAACACCTCCAGCCTGCCCTCGCTTTTCTTGAACCGGCTGTGCTGAGACAGGGCTGGCTACCACCTGTCTGTGGGCTGCCATGGACCTTCTAAGCGTGCAGAAAGGGGGCCACGGACCCCGCCAGACACCACATCTCCATGCTCTACCTGCTCCCTCACCCCCAGCTATGCTCCAACACCCCATTCCCCACACAGACACTCAGGGCAAACACAGAGGGCCTGAAGATGGAGGGGAGCACAGGCCTGGGCTGATCTACCAGAGGCGATGGATTGTACCAGTGATTATAAACCAAGAGTGTGTGTGTGTGTGTGTGGGGGGTGGTGGTGGTGTCTGCCTAAAACAATCAGCTGGGGAGGGCCACCACCATGTCCTAATAGGTCCTTCTGAGGAGGGAACCTAGTACCATGTACCCCCTCACACACACACGCACACACACGTGGACAAGACAGAAACAGCTGCCTGTGCCGGAACTGTAGGGGTGAGTGGAGGAAAAGCAGTCCCCTGCTCTGTAGGCCCGATTCAAAGTTTCCTTTGATGTCGTTTTCATCATTGGCCTGATGACCATCATGTAAGCGTATGCTGTTGACGTTGCTGCAAAGTAACTGCTTCTCAGGCAGCACTCTGGCCTGGGGTGGAGGTCTAGGTCTGCCCTCCTGATGTCCACTATCGGGGGTTATGTGGCGATGTGACCTTTACCTTCTGTTTGGGTTGGAAAGAGCCAGACCCTTTCCCTTTGGGGCCTCACGTGGCCTGGCTTCTCCACAGAGGCTCGTTGTCTGGGTCCTGCAGCCAAGGCCTTCCCAGATCAGGGCGGGGCTCTGCCACTTGTTTTTTGTTTATTTGCTGCTTAAGGCTCCCAGTATTCCTGACATGCTCAGACAGGATTGCAGAAATGGCAGATTTTATATGCCCAGCCCAGTCAGTGTGTCTGTACAACTATACGTTTGCTCTCATTTGCAGATGAGCACACAGGTCTGAATCTAGGGTCTTGAGGAGTGTGGGGCCTGGGCAGAGTGGGTCCCACCCAAACCCACCTCTTCAGGCACACGTGTCCACACGCACACTACACTGGGGTGCTCCTGCCTGGACGCCCCTCAGGCTGCCGAGGAGGGTCCTTAGCCCAGCCCAGGCGTATTGGACCTGCCCTCGGACTTGGCGTCTTGCCTCAGCATTCTCTAGTGAGCCCCTCAGTGCTTTGGACCTTTGAGGTGGCAGCATGCTGCTGTTACTGGGGAGTAACAGATCCTGGGGAGTCATTACTCGTATTTTCGGTTCCTTTTGCATTCGTTCATTCATTCATTCACTCCCTTACTCAACAAGGTATCTGTTGATCTCCTCCTATGGGCCAGACTCTGTTCCAGGCAGCAAAGATACAACAGGGAACAAAACAGACCAGGACCCCCACCCATGTGGACCTTACTGCACTCCTTCTGGAAACCATGTGACAGCATCCCTGCTGACATCCTCTAAAATTACCCACGATTTCGTGTTTGCACGGTGGCAGCCAAAACCATTGGCCCTGTGCCCCTGGCCCCCCCGCCGTTCTCACCAGCTTTCAGGGCCCATGGGCCCTTTTCACCTCAGCACATGTTTCTTTCTAAAAATTTATCTCTGTCAAGAAAATAACCCCCAAGCTCATATGTATTTAAAAAGTTAGCTTTCAGCTTCTTCTGTGTGCATGTCACCCCTTCTCTGGACACTAACTCTGTCACATGATATCTAGTCATGGTTATGAATTTAAGATCTGTTTTAGCCAACGAATTAGCCTCTTTCCATAGGAACGACATACTGCTATTCTATGCACCGGTTTCCTATGAACATCACTCAGGTGCCTGATTCCAAAAGTGTTTGTGTTGCCAACTCTGCTAACTGCTGTGCTGCATTAGCTCAAGGAAGACTGCACCCACGCACACACATGCACAGGTGTACACACACCACACACGTACATGTGCATACATGTGCATGCGTACACATACGCACATGCACGTGCGCACCTGCACGTGCACTGGTGCATGCACACATGCATGTGCACACATGTGCACCCGTACGCGCACACACATACTTGTGCATGCACACAAACACATATGCATGCATGCACACACACACACGCATAGCTTCTGCTTGTGCTTTCCTAACAAGGAATCCCAGCAGCTGATGCATTATGTAGCTGACGCTGTACACGGGCTTGTCTGGTGAGGTTTCCGCTGTTCCTTCAGGGCTCTGGAGACCAGTTGGTAGCTTCACGTGCCCTCTATTGGAAGGTACCACTTGGAGGACTGGCCCTAATCTGAACCTAATTTTGGTGCGTTACCAAGCATTGCAGATCAGACCTAAACAGAAAGGGGAACCTTGACGCTGCTCCCAGGTGCCCGGTGAGAAAGGTGTCACTTGTCCCATCCAGCCACACAGATGAGGGGACCAAGCCCACTCATGTCAGGACCATGACCAGGACTCATGCCCATTGTTCCTGCCCCTGCAAGAAGACCCTTGAGCCGGCACTCACCAGTTCCTGTTTCTCGCCTGTATAGCGGGGTGACCATCACAGGGGTGTTCTGAGGGTCACATGGGGATTACCTGGAAGAGCTCCCTCTAAGTGAGTCAAGCATAAGGGATGCTGCCCACCCCCGGCCATGTTATTCGGTTGGTGAGAGAGACTGAATCGCCTGCGTAGCGTTCTCTCCTCACTCCCTAGTGACCAGCCTGTGCCAACACTTCACAGAAATGAGGCATCACAACCCCTGGGCGGGCCTTGGAGGATGCCTGTCAATCAAGACTAAGCAGGGAAGGGAGCCGGCTGCGTCCCGCTTCGTTCAGCAGGTGGCCAGGCCAGGCCTTGCTGTGTGAATTCATTGTGAAATGGCCTGGGAGGCAAAATTACTTTTTGGATAACTTTTGGAAGAGAAGATTTCATTCTGCCTACCCCGCATGATGTAGCACTTGAAATGCTGGTTTTCCTCCTGGTTTGAGAGCCACCGCTGAAGAGTTTATGGCTTTGCCCACTGGAGGCCACGAGGCTTTGTTAAAATAAATGGATTTTCATGAAGGGTGGGTGTGGAGCTGTCCTGCTGATTGGGGCCCCTCTGTCTTCCTGGCCTCACTGTCAGGCTAGCAGGGGCCTCCTCCTTTCAGGCCAGTTTGGCACCGGTGGGACCAGGACTGCATAGCACCATTCCAAAAAATGGTTGATGAAAGTGAATATGGTGGCGACTTTGCTCTCTGGACCTCAGTTTCTTCTTCTGTAAAGTGAGGGCAATGAGAGCATTATAAAGCCCTCAGCCTGGCCATCGGTGGACTTTGGACATCTCAGTAAGAGCTTACAGGTTTTAAATACTTTCCTGGGACAGGTGCTACGCTGTGCTCACCTGGTCATCCCCCATTCGTCCCACCTCACACAGCAGCCTCACACAGCGGTGGTACAGCTTCCATCTTACACGTGGAGAGGTGACGACAGTTGTCTAAGACTGCTGTTAGCTAGAGGCCAACTGAGGGTTTCAGCTCCCCAAATCTCACTGAACCTAAAACCTTCGTGTCTTGTGTACATTGTCAGTCTTTTAAAAAACATTTTTTATTTTCCATTTACAGTTGACATTCAATATTATATTAATTTCAAGCGTATAGCGTAGTGGTTATATATTTAGTTTAACAAGTGGTCCCCCAATAAGTCTAGTACCCACCCGGCACCATACTCAGTTATTACCTTATTGACTCTGTTCCCGATGCTGTACTTTATATCTCCATTTGTCAGTTTTAATTCTGCTGTGGAAAACTTGATTTTCAGAGACTGTGCAAATCAGTAGTAGAGGAAGGTTGTCTGGGAGAGGAGTAAAATTTTGAAGAGTGAACTCAGCTTTCATGAGATGTCACCACATAGATGCAGGAGGAGAGCTTCTGTCCTACAGACGTGCGCATCCTGCTAGCCTGGCTAAGTCGCTGCATGGAGTCCAAAGCCATGTGTCTTAGGCATCCACGTGTGAATGATGTTTGTGCGTGTGCATGTGTGCGCGTGCATGCATGCGCATGTGTGTGTGTGTGTGTGTCGGAAGGCTGTCCCAGCATTAGTTAATAACCATGAGGTTGTTATTGCAATGGGGAAATGATCTAAACCAGTTTCTTCAGATTTATTTACTGATAGATTCAAAGTTACCATGGAGAGAAAGCCTAGTAATGACTGCAGTGTCACCTGGAAGGAGTTTCTCAGGCCCCAGGTGATGGAAACATTCTTATTCACAGTCACCTTAACCTACAAGAGAACTAAGGGCAGGAGCTATGGCCAGCCTCCTGGGTTAGGAATTCCTGGTGCCTTTGTGTCTCCCGTCCCCTGCTCCCTCCTCCTCATGTGTCCCTTACTCTTTGTTCAGTATTTCTGAATTTGCCAGATCTGTAAGGAAGTGTTGTGTACAGAATGAAGAGGTGCCCCCGGGTGCGAGGACACGGGAGACTGGGAACACAGGGGACTCTGTCTGGGGGAGCAGGGCAGCTTCCAGGCTGGTGTTTGAGCTCCTCCCTGAAGGGTGTCAGGAAGGGTGGCACCCGGGCAGAGGCCCAGCGATGGGAATGCGTCCCCAAGCCAGCGAGGGTGTGGTGGTCGTGGCAGTAAGCACTCGGCCTATCTTTGTCTTAGGTCCGACCCGAAAGATGCCACCCGGTGCCAGCGCCATGGACTTCTTCCAGCTCTTTGTGCCTGACAATGTCCTCGGGGCCATGGTGGTGCAGACAAACATGTATGCCAAGAAGTTCCAGGAGCGCTTCGGCAGTGATGGCACCTGGGCGGAGGTGACGCTGGCGGAGATGAAGGCCTTCCTGGGCTACATGATCTCCACCAGCATCTCGCACTGCGAGTCGGTCCTCAGCATCTGGAGTGGCGGCTTCTATGGCAACAGCAGCCTGGCGCTTGTCATGAGTCAGGCCCGCTTCGAGAAGATCCTCAAGTACTTCCACGTCGTGGCCTTCCGTTCCAGCCAGACCACCCACGGCCTCTACAAGGTTCAGCCCTTCCTCGACTCCCTGCAGAATGGCTTCGACGCCGCCTTCAGGCCGTCCCAAACCCAGGTGAGGCCGCTGCCCGGAGACAGCTCCTGGTGTCCCCTCCTGCACCCTGCGCCTGGCCCTGGGCGACGGCAGCCGGGAAGCAGTGTGACCTTGGCCATCCTCCCCTTCCTGCCCTGACTCTGAGGTCATGTCCAGGTTACCCCTCCTGTCCTCCCATCCCTCTGGCCTCACTAATCCACATTCGATCAAAGCGTATGGTGGAGTGACAGCTCTAGACCACAGACAAGTCAGAATTCAGGAGTTTGCTCTTAGGTGCACTTGCCCTCCTCTGTTCTCCCCATTTTCCTTCTCCTTTAATTATACTCTCTTTCCAACTTACATTTTGCTCAGGCTAATTTTAATTTCCTTGTCATATTCTCTGAGTTTGTACTCACCGGCGGTGGTAGACGAGGCCAGAAGCCTCCTGGGTGGCAAAGGGAATGAGCCTAGAGTGCCAGCCATTCCCCAGCAATCAGGAGTCGCTGCTGTGCTGGGTGCACGCGGTATGCATGGCAGAGGCCGACGATGCCCAGACCTCACTGTGCGCCCCCTGCACCTTCCCACTTCCCTGACTGGTTCTAGAAGGCTCTGCCTGCCCTCAGCTCCTGGGCCCTGGTGGCAAGTGCATTAGGCTGAGGTCAGACCGTTTCACAGTTGCCCTGCAACTTGCTCTACTGGTAAACTGAGGAGGCAGCTCATTGGTGGAGATTTCCGTAACCCAAACTGGAAGTTCTTGGCCCATGGGACCCCAGTTCCCTTTGACCTGTTCTATGTGGAGACAAAAATTTACTTAACTTTTGTTTAAACATCTAATGACCCATCGATCTACCTGCTCTTCCTTGTGCCTTTCCTTTAGGGGCCTTCTTAATCAGCCTTAGATGTTGGTTTTCTCTTCTAGTGTAGATCCTTTCCTAACACCTTATCGTGTCCACTTCCCCACAGGTGAAAACAGCAGGGTGTTTGTGGGGCAGATGTGCCCCTTTCAGGTCTGTGGGCGCCTTCAGATGCCTTGTGCTGTTTTTCCTGCTGCTGTGTGAGCTCGCCGGGCTCATGGTGACTTCTGGGTGTTTACCAGGCTCATGGTGACTTCTGGTTGTTTTCCACGGTTGTGGTGACTTCCGGGTACTTGACAGGCTCATGGTGACTTCTGGGTGTTTGCTGGACTCATGGTGACTTCCAGGTGTTTGCCAGGCTCATGGTGACTTCCAGGTGCTCCATGGGCTCTTGGTGACGTTTGGGCGTTTGCTGGACTCATGGTGACAAACGTGTGTTTGCTGTGCTCTCCGTCGTCTATCTGCCTCTCTCAGCCAGATGTACGGTCCTCATTCCCATGTTGATTTCTGCTCTCCTAACCTCCCCACCCCCAATCTCATTTGCAGGGCAGCCAAGTGCCACTTGTGTTGTCTTCCACTTGTGTCACTTGCCTTCCTCCCAGGATGTGGGAGCTTTGGGGGAACGTAAGCCCTGCCTTACAGCAGGCCATGCAGGACCAAGTACTGGGCTGGCATATTGCTTTTTGTGTCACTGAATATTTGCTTGGTTGAAAACGAACCAAACCAGAGACACATTGGCTGGATGCAAGGGAAAAAACAACATTCAGACCATGCTTGGGGTCACACAGCTTTGGGGTCCTTGAATTGCTGCTAGAGAAGGCTGTGGGATCACTGTGCCTCAGTGCCTCCCAAGAACTAAGCAACCAGCCCTGTGGATGACTTATACAGCCTGAAGACAAGGCTCTCGGCCTGTAGACAAGGCAAGCCTTATCTACAATTTACTCACAGTCGCTGTCTGCCGGCCTCATGGTCTGTGCCTTCTAGTACTGCAGGAGTAGATCTGAGACACTAAATCCAGGATGATCACCCGACCTGTGTGTATCCCAGAGCCTTGGGGCCACACAGCAGCGCCCACTTGGGGCCACACAGCAGCAAATACTGAGCTCTGGAGTCCTTCCCTTCCCAGCCCGGATGTGGGTGCCCTGAGCGGGCATGTCTACACTGTGGGGCTGTTGGCAGGCAGGTGTCCCATGATACACCCAAACAGCAGGTGGGTGGTGGGGTTCAGGGAGACCCTAGAGAGTTGGTCACTTTATTCTGGCTGCACACCCCCCTTTTCTTTGCTTCCAGGTGACGAGGCTGAGAGAGGAGAGGCCTAAGAAGAGGCTCAGTTTGGGGAAGGGCTCCCTGGTCATGTTGGGGTTTTTATTCTCCCTTTCTTTTTTTTTTTTTTACTTTGTACTTAGGTTTTACCTTGGTATTTGTGAAGTTCTGTTTTCTTTTTGCTGCCATTTTCTACTCCATGCCCTGTTGTTGGTCAGTATCCCAGCAGGAAACAAAAGCGCTAGAGAGGGGTTGGGGAGAGTCAGATGCAAGGATGTTGGACAGGGTGTGACCAGGGTTCAGGGATGAGACCAGGGTACTGAGATACCCTGGGCAGCAGTAGTGCGAAGCTGATGGCAGCCCTCGGCTGGCCGAGGAAAGGGAGCGGGCGAGGGGCAGTGAAGGCCGTGGCCTGGGGAGAGGCCTGAGGACGTGGGAGGACAGAAGTGGCTGTCCTGTGTCTTGCTCAAGCCTCTCACTTGGCCGCTTGGCCAGATGCTGGGGACAGGGGCCTGGGTGCTGCGGTTTGTAAGAGATTGGCTTCCAGGCCACAGCACAGGGTCAGAAGGGTGGGAAGTGGGTCTGGGGGCAAACAGAACACCCAGTACAGTGTACCTGACAGACGGGAACACGAGGCAGACGGAAAGTCAAGGTCCCTGGGACCCATTCTCCAGTTGGCTGATGGTCAGATGGCATTTCCTGTTTTTCCACCTTCCTTCCTTCTCCTGAGTAGGCCTGTGGAGCCAGCTCTGGGTCCCTGGGTCCCTGGGCTCGGCTGTAGGGGCTTCTCGCTTCAGCCTCCAGCACTGGCCACACATACTTGTTTCCTGCATTTCTTCTCTAAGACGCGCCCGCCTCTTAGACAGGGAGGAGGGCTCCTGTTCTGATGCTGGATAGCTGGGTGCTCTAGAGATTTCTGGATTTCCCTTCTTCTCCCTGTTGGGCTGTGGAATATTCGACTCACAGAGAAGGGGATCGAGGAGTGAGTTTGGTTGCAGGTTGCTGAGGGCACCCTGCAGCCCCGGGCTCCCAGGCAGGGGTATCCCTGCTGCGTGCTGGGGCCGGCCGGAACAGTCCTCCAGCCCTCATCACTTGGGGGCAGATTTTCTCTGAGTCCTGGAGCTGCAGTGCATCCCACACACTTGCCTAGACACACAGCACACTCGCCCCGCAGATTCCACACGCTCTCTGCCCTGCAACCAGGAGCTCTTTACTCCAGGAAACTGACCTTTTGGGACGAGTTAGAACTTTCACAGAATCTTCAGAAATCTAATGACTCCCAGAATCCAATGGTAACCCAAGCAGCCGTGTGTGTGTGTGTGTGTGTGTGTGTGTGTGCGCGCGCACACGTACCCACACATGTGTCTTTATATAAAAATACAAAATAACGACTGCATTACCTCAAGATTGGGGGCAGATTAATTCGAGGAATGGTTTTGGGGGAGGGATTATGCAAGTGAAGAAAGCGATGCTTTGTCTTTCCCTTCCTGTATGCACTGCCACCCCCAAAATGAGCCTGTCATACACACAGGGGACTCAGGAAGCACAGCTGGGTAGCTGAGATGTGCTGGGCAGGCTACAGCCTGGAGGAGGAGCTGGTTGTCCGGTGGTTTTGGGAGCTGTGGACAGCACGCTGCTCTGTTCTGCGTGTAGTACTGACCCGTTCAGAATTCACTTAATGCCAATAGAAAAGAAGGGAAAGCAGTGAGGACCAGAAAGTCTGCTCTGGAGAGGCATATGAGAAAATATAAATGCAACTGAGTACACCTTAAATACAAGTGGCGTGCAGGTACATCAGCTGTCTGAAGATGAATGAGGGGGCCCCAGACGCAGTCTCTACACCATCTCTCCCCTCCCCTGCTCCACTTCCCCACCCAGTGAGATACTTGTCCATTTTTCTGAGTGGATGCCAATGGGGCTGTGAGTGTTGTATGAGCCACGCAGAGCCAGTGAGTTCGGAAGCAGGCATGAGGGCCTGGGGAGGCCCCACAGCCAGGCAGCGTCTCCAGGCCTTCCCCTCAGGAGCAGGAGACAGGGAAGGCCGGGCTTGTCCCCTCACTGCCAATAACAGAAAAGCCGAGGAGGCAGTGTGCACAACTAGGAGTGAACACTACATTCATGGAATTCAAGGGAACATTAATGGGAGAATGGACAGAGACGTCCAAATCACAGGTGGTAAGATTGTCCTGCCCTTGGCTGACCTACCATGTTCTAACACCACCTGGGAGCTTTTGGGGAGGCAGAAACTCAAGCCCTGCCCCAAATTTACTGACTCAGAATCTGCATTTTAGTAAGCTCCCGGGTGACTAGTTTGTTCATTAAAGTTTGAAAAGCATTGATGGAGAGCAGGGATGGTACACTTCTTCTGTCAATGGCTAGATAGTAAGTATTTTCAACTTCGTGGGTCATATGGTCTGTGTTCCAACTTGTCAGTTCTGCCATTGTAGCCCCAAAGCAGCCATCAACATGTACATGAATGAGCACAGCAGGTTCCAATAAAACTTTATTTACAACAGGCAGAGGGGCGGGACTAGATTGTAGTTTGCTGGCCCCTGATCTAGAGCTGCATGTTGAGGTCTTGGAATCATATTGTTTCCTACACTTTTCATTTCAGTGAGTACAGACATACACACCAATTCATAATTAAGCTTGATGGGGGAGGGAAGTGTGCCAGACTCCTAAGATTTACCCAGAAGTCTCCCCAAAAAGCTTTAACTTGTAAAACAAAACTTTGACCACCCTTTGAAGCCTATTTTCATAATGCCATTTCCTTTTACTTTATTGTCTTATCACTGAAAAAGTCCTATAACCATGTTATCAAGAAGCTGAAATGGGCCGGCCAAGTGGCTCATTGGTTAAGAGTTGGCTTGGGAGTGCTGGCTCTGAGCAGCAGGGACGCCGGTTCAGATCCCACATGGGCCAGTGATGCTGCGCCCTCTACAGCTAAGATGGTGAACAACAGCTAGACCTGGAGCTGGGCTGCCGTGAGTCGCCAGCGATGGTGTAGACTGCAGTGGGGCTGCATTGGGCTCCCATAAGCTACCGTGAGTGGCCGGCAGCCAGCATGAGCGGCCGGCAACTGGCGAGAGCTGCGGTGAGCTGCCGTGAGCCGCCATGAGCGGCTGTCCAATGGCCAGCGACCGATCTGCCACAGCTGGGAAAAGCACAATGATCATAATACCAATATGGGCCAACGAAGCAGCATCCTCCACAACTAGACTGAGGAACAAAAGGACAGCAACTTGTCTGTTCCCCTTCCCTGATTTCCCAACACTGTTCCCTCCCCCAATTCCCCAATAAAATCTTAAAAAAAAAAAAAGAAGCTGAAATGGGAGAAATGAGTTTAAACTGGCCTTGGGAAAGGCCATGGTGAGAAAGAACATGGTGACCAGGGACAGCCAGAGGCTGTGTCATGGCAGCAGGGACTGGGGTCATTTCTGGAATGGTTTCTAAAAGAGAATGTCCAACCTGGGAAAAAGAGCATCATCGCCAACATGAGAGCTGTGTGAATACCTAAACAAATCACATGTTTTTGTTTTTCACAGGGCAAAAGTCAGATCAATAGGTTTAGGTTAAATGTAGGTAAACTCTGAGTCAGTGAGAGAAAACTTTTAGTACTTGGAGCCATCATCCATCAGTGGAAAGGTCTTTCATGGAAAAAAGTGGGTGCCCACCACTAGGCATGTCCAGCGAGAGGTCAGGACCCCTGCTGGAGATCCCTCTACCAAGTGGGAGTTTGGACTGGGGACCTTCTGCTGATAATAATGATAATAAACATTATTTCCATTTACTAAATACTGCGATATGTTAGGGTCTGTGCTAAGTGCTTTGCGTCCAGTTCTTAGTCCTTCCCCAAACCCTGATGTAGATATTGACATCACCGTTTCATAGATGAGGCTACTCAGGCCCAGAGAGGCGAAGTCACTAAGCCAAGGCCACACAGCTACTCAAAAGCAGAGACGAGATTTGAGCCCACATCTGCTGACGCCCTGAGCTCATACTCCTTCCACGAGAATCTCTGCCTTTACTTTCCCGGCAGGTGCTACATGAACCCTTGATAGACGAGGACCCCGTGTTCATTGCCACGTGCACGGAGCGGGAGCTGCGGAAGAGGAAGAAGCGGAAGTTCAGCCTCTGGGTCAGGCAGTGCTCTTCCACTGGTTTCATCATCCAGGTGAGCCCTGGCCGGGCCGGGGGCCGGGGGGCAGAGGCAGGGACCTTGGCTTGTTCGGTAACCGATCTGCTCACTTACCCCTTTCGCTGTGTGTCACCCAAATGCTCCACTGAGGCTGGGGCTGGGCTGCTTCCCTCCTTCCTGGGGCACTGGCTGGCCGGCACTGTCCCCTGCCCACTCTAGCCTCCCTGGTGAAATAACAGTGGTAAAGACACTGACCAAGACTCAGGCCGTCGCAGCGTCAGCCAGAGGCTTCACCCAAACAGTGGGTCCCAAGAAGTGAGCACCATCCCCTTGAGAGCATGCTGTGGGGCAGTCCCAGAAGGCCCCTCCTGCCCAGGCCAGCACCGGCGCCCCGGTCAAATCGGCCTTCGCCAGTAGCATGGCCTTTCAAGCCAGCGCCTCACCGGTTCCCTGCCTCAGCTCACGCCAGGCAGACGTGGGCGCATATTTCGTAAGAGGTGGCCAAGCTGTGCTCCAGGAAATGTGCCAGAGTCTGAGCTGCCAGGAGCAGCCAGGGTGCAGAGGGCCTGAAAGGAGCAGGTGGGAGCTGGAGACAACCAAAAGGCGGCACCTAAGCGATGGCTTCTGACCTGGGCTGGTCTGTCCTGCCCTGCGGCTTGGGCACCTTACCCCATCGGTCACAGCTGACCCCTGCACTGCCCTTGCCTGGCTGCAGCCCCAGGCCCTGGGCACATGGTTTTGCAGTCCCCCAGCCCCGCCCCTGAGCTGGAGGAGAAGTCCTAAGACTCAGCTGAGCACCTCCTCACGCATCCGTCCAGAGCCAAAGCAAGGACGGTGCATGTGCTCCGGGTAGAGCACTGTCCCCCCTGCCCCCGGCAGGCCTGGGGGACCTTCAGAATGGGCTGGGACCAGAGTCTCCAGCTGGAACCCGGCCTGAGTCTGCTTGTGCACAGGCATCAGGCTGTCACCAGAATGGACCTGTCTCAGAGTGGGTTGCTCCAGATGTGCAGCCTGGACCGTCTGTTTCTACACCGCCTCCAGTGGCCCTGCCATCTCTGTCCTGCCCTTTGCAATGACACTCCATGGGGACAGGGGAGTCAGGCATTGTGCCAGGCACTGGGATGTGACAACACGGTCCTGCCTTCTCTGAGATCTGCCTGTGTAGCTTTTGAGTAAGTGTTCATGCATGGGTTGTTTCCTGTTGACCATAAACTTGGTGAGTTGCTAGAAGTCTCCTCCATTACCCAGCAAAACCACAAACCTCTGTCTCTGTCCAGGCTCTTCCCAATGTGTACAAAATCCATAAAATCCCATCGATAGACTAAAAGGCTTGGATTGGCCCCTCAAAGTTTCCTTTTATTTCTAACATTGTGATTCTAGGAGGTTTTGCAGCAGTATTTTTCAGCGGAGGTTTGTATTCAGAAGGCAGAACTGGGGCTGACAGCTCCCATCCAGATGCAACTTTTGCCAGGGGCAGCCGTGAACATCCCTGCGCCCAGCGCTGAACGCAGAACCATCACCCTTCCGCTGTGGCTGTCCCACATGGCACAGCAGCTTTCCCAGGCTCCCCCCTGCATTTCACCCCTTTGTTACTGGGTCCAGCTGAAGGTACCCATGGCAGGCAGCAAAGCAGGGAAGGGACCCCCCTGCCTGGGAGGTGTCAGGAGACATCGGAAGGAGCAGTGTGGCCAGGCCGCTGTGTTTTTAACACTAAGGCCCTTTTCTTGGCTCTCCGGATCCGAATCCTGGTTTGACAGCCTGATGGGGGACTGGGTGGAGGGGGAGAGGCAGGGCGGAGCAGTGTCACAGCTCCATCTCCTCCGTGCTCTCACATCAGCCTGTCGGGGACGGAGGGTACTTATCCCGCTTTCCAGATGAGGTGGCGTAAGCTCACAGAGGAGGTGCTGGTCAGCACAGATCTGCACCTGATGCTCTTCTGTCCTGTGACCCCAGGCCACCCTGTCCTCCTCGGTCCTGAGTGGCAGCAGCAGTCGCAGCTCTTGCTACTTCTGCTGGGAACTTAGCCAGTTCCTGAAAGTGCCTTGGATCTTAGTGTCCTAAAGTGAGGGGTCAGTTAGTCAGTGAGGACCCTTCACTGCAAGATTCTGTGATTCTCCTCTTTGCAGATGTCACATGTGGGGCTGTACACACATGAACGTTTTCTTCTTTTTATTGTGTCACATCCTTTCTTCTCCTAAATGACTTTTCACCAGAGAAGCCCAGTCGCTAAGCCTCAAAGACACTGTGGCCAGGCTGCTGTCCTGCTCTCCCCTCACTGGTGGCAGAAGCTGCCCAGCCCTGCCTGTCCGAGGTGGGTGTGTGTTTTGCTGTGGCCCATGGGACACATGGAGATGGGAATGGGCGTCTCTGCCCTGACCAGGAGGAAATGTCCCGGCTGGGTCACTGAGTGCTGAGGACCTGGGAGCCCAGAAGCTCACCGCATGCCTCTTGGGGCTGTTGGTTATGCATTGACATAATCGATGGGGGTCTGTCACCAGGGTCCGCAGTGCTGACCCTACAGCGATTCTGGCGTGCACTGAGCTGGCGTCCTGAATGGACAGCAGGTTTGCAGGCGTGTCTCCAGGAGAGACCAGGGTCCTTCTTCGGCTTTGTAGTTTCATTCTGCCGAGACATAAGCTTTCGCCGGCTGGACTGCACCCTTCTGAAGTAGAGCTGCAGCGAGGATTAGCTCTACTTCAGCATTAGATCAAGGGCTGAGGGAGGAAAAGAAATTCCAAGTTGGTGAGCGATTTCTCAAGTGGTTCCAGAGACGGTCAATGCAAAAGCTGGTCAAGACTCCGTGCGGCCAGCTTATGTCATCTGTGCCTGAGATGGGGCGAGCTGACCTCCACGGGCATCTGGATGAGGAGGGAAAGCCAACAGCCAGCCAAAGACAATGCTAATGATGATGGTGTTTAGAAGAACTCCAGTATTTTTATAGGTTTAAGTTTCTTGGATTCACTTGAAGGGGAATCTTAGAATCAGATGAAAGTGGTTAAAAGTGCTTATGTGGTTTCTCCCATGAAGAAAATATAAGAAGGTACAGTCCTCCCCCCCTTATCCATGGGGGACATGTCCCACAACCTCAGTGAATGCCTGAAATCGCTGATAGTACTATATAGACTATGTTTTTTCCTATACATATGCACCTATGGTAAAGTTTAATTTGTAAATTAGGCACAGTTAGAGATTAACAACAATAATAAAGTAGAACAGTTATAACATTATACTGTAAGAATAGTTATGTGAATGTGATCTCTCTGTGTCAGTATATCTTATTGTCCTGTCCGTACAGCGTAGAGATGCTGGACAAAGGGACGACTCGTGTCCCAGATGGGATGGAGTGAGATTGCATCACACTACTGAGAATGGGGTGCAATTTAAAACTTATGAATTGTTTATTTCTGGAATTTTCCATTTAACACTTTTGGATAACTGAAACCACAGAATGCAAAACCATGGATAAGAGGGGAGAACTGTGTTTGGTAGGATGGAAGTAGAAAAAAGAAATTAACACTATCATTCTGAAAGTTAAGGGGTTAAGATCCTTTGTTTCTTAGAGTGCAAGAGACAGCAAGTAAAAAGTTCCCAGGAGGGGGGGCCGGCCGAGTGGCGCGATGGTTAAGAACTCGCTTGGGATGCCAGAGGGCCCCGGTTCGGATCCCACATATGAGGGCCAGTGACGCTGCCCTCTACAGCTAAGATGCTGAACAACAGCTCAACCTGGAGCTGGGCTACTGTGAGTCGCCGGCGACGGCGTAGGCTGCAGCCCCTGTGGCAGTGGGTTGCCATGGGCTACCGTGTGTAGCCAGCAGCCAACGTGAGCGGCCAGCAGCCAACGTGAGCATCCAGCAGCCGCAGTGAGCGGCCGTCCAAAAGCCGGCGACTGATCTGCCTCACCAGGGAGGAGCGCAATGATGGTGCCAACTTGGGCCAGTGGGGCAACATCCTCCACAACTAGATTGAAGAACAAAAAAAAAGAAAAAAACTTTGTCTGTTCCCCTTCCCCCGATTCCCCAGCACTGTTCCCATCCCCCCAATTCCCCAATTTAAAAAAAAAAAAAAGTTCCCAGGAGGGGCCGGCCGAGTGGCGCATTGGTTAAGAGCTGTCTTGGGACGCCAGCTCTGAGCAGCAGAGCCCTGGTTCGGATCCCACATTAGGGACAGTGACGCTGCGCCCTCTACAGCTAAGATGGTGAACAACAGCTCGACCTGGGCTGCACTGAGTCACCAGCGACAGCATAGGCTGCAGTGGAGCTGCAGTGGGCTGCTGTAAAGCTACCATGAGTGGCTGGCAGCTGGCGTGAGCGGCCGGTAGCCGGCGTGAGCTGCCAAGAGCCGCCATGAGCGGCCGTCCAGGGCCTGGAGACTAATCTGCCTCACCTGGGAAGAGCGCAATGATAATACCAACATGGGCCAGTGAAGTGATGTCCTCCACAACTAGACTGAAGAACGAAAGGAGAGCAACTTGTCTGTTCCCCTTCCCTGATCCCCCAACGCTGTTCCCCTGCCCCAATTTCCCAATAAGATCTTTTAAAAAAGTTCCCAGGAGAAAGGGTGAGTCAGACCCTTGTGTAAATGCCGTCCAGCTCTAAAAGGCCCGTCTGTCCTCACATCTCTCCCAGACCGCCTTCCAGCAATCCCTAACACACAGCACTGGCTCAGACAGGTAAGCCTGCCTTGCAGCTGGCATGTAGACTTGTCCTGTAGGACCGCTCACCTTGAAAGTCCTTGGATGCACAATGTCCATCTCGTGTTTTGCTGCACACCAAATGAGTCAATGTGTGAAGACTCCACCACACAGGGCTTAAGGCCTAAGGAACAATCAAATGAGGCCATCACACTCCTCTGTGAGGTAGATTACCACCTGAGAGACCTGGCCTGGGGTCTTCAGTCACCTGCTTAACTGTGACATGAGGAATGACACACATGTGTATTACAGGGGATAAAAGGAAAGGCAGGTGTCTGTCCTCAGGAGTGTATAATTTTTTATTGTGAAATACACATAACATAAAATTTACCATTTAACCATTTTT